TGTGTGTGTGTGTGTGTGTGTGTGTGTGTGTGTGTAAGCATATGTGCGTGTGTATGTGAGAAAAAGCAAATAGCAAAAGTGAAAAAAATAATAATTGGTTAAAACCTGGATAAAGACTACACAAGGGTTCAAAATGTCCACTAGCAAGTTTTCTGGTCACTTTAAAATTTTTCCAAATGGAAAGTTATTCCATATGTGAGACTAAGTCAGTCAGGTTTAGAACAGAGAAAGAAACAAATAAAACCAAAACAAAACGGACGGTGACCAGACCTGAGCTTGGCAGTGAGACTGCAAAGGGAGAAGCAGCGTTCTCCTGGACAGCACCCCATCAGGCTGACGTCTTGGGGAGGGCAACTTATGAAAGAAGGCAGGTGGAAGGGGGCCATGTGAAAACTGAGACGAGAGGGGCAGAACAAACCCTTCGCTCCTGTCAGGTGCCCTTGAGATGCCTAACTCTCCCACCAGTGCCCTCTGGGACACACAGGGGACTTATTCTCAAGCGAGGCAATGGGACTTACATTTCTTCTTCTTCTTCTTCTGGTTACTTTACCATGTCTATAAGATCTGGAATCATGCTCTTTATTTCGTATCTGATATTGATAATCTGTGTCTACTTCCTTGACATTCCTATTTAGACTGGTTAACAGGTTTATCAATTTCATTAATCTCTAAATAGCTTTTGGTGTCACTGCCTCCTCCTTTTGTTTAATGTTTAATAACTTAGGCGGACACTTACATTATTTATGTGAGTTCCATCTTCTAATATGATCATTTTTTTGGTAAAAACTTCCCCCAAAATATTACTTCAGCACATAAAGTTTGATTAAATGTGGTTTAATTTTCAGTCAGTTCAAACTACACTAATTGTTCTTATGTTCTTTTCTTTTACTCATGGGTTATTTAGAATTTGGTTATATTTTACATATCACTTTGTTATTGATTTTGGTTCAATTTCTTACTGCTAAAGTACCCTGCATAACTGAAATTCTATTAAATGTATTTAAACATATCTCAGAATATAGCCTATATAAAAACAATGCATATCCTTCTTTTATGGCATCAAATGTATGAATGCCAAGCACATCCAGTCAGTTGTCTGTTATATTTTCTATATTCTTGCTGATTTTCTGTCTACTTTTCTTTGAATTACTGACAGAATACACTGAACTTTCCAACTGTAATTATGGACTTGTCTATTTCTCTTTTAGTTCCATCAATTTTTGCTTCAAGCTTTTGAGTTTGTGTGTCAGATACTACATATTTAGGAGCATCAGGTCTCCAGATGAGTTGATCCGTGAAATGAATATCCCTGATTATTACTTATTCTAAAATCTACTCTGTCTCTAAGCAACACTTTTTTCTTCAGTCCTGCCACGGTTAATTCCAAGAATGTGTTTCCTTCTTGCACCTGATCATTTTTCTTGTAACTCTCATCATTTTTTGTGAACTCCTCTGATAGGGAAACTAAGCAGTATCATACCGAAGGTAAAAATTTATTATAATCAGTGTATACAAAATTTACCCTTTTTTTGGTACCGAGGTTCGAACTCAGGTCCTTGTATGCGCAAGGCAGGCGGCGGAACCACTGAGCTAAATCCCCGGCCCTGAAAAAACTGAATGGACTGAACAACTGGTGAGTTTCCGGCGCCAAGTCCCCTGCCCGTCCCGCCTGGGCTCTTCCCTGAGAAGCCCGCCGGTACCGGACCCACTGGCGGCCGGCAGTCACGTGACTTGCGCTGGCCAATGACGTGGCACCTTAACAAGGGGCGGAGGCTTCATAAGCCCTGGCTGAGTTCCGCTTCTGCTCTTTGTCCAGCGCTACAAGGACACCCGGCGGCTCTCAGTCCTCACTGTCCAAACGTTACAACTCAAAAATAAGAAAACAAAACCCCTTAAAGTCCTATTTAAACTTTTTTTTTTTTTGGTACTGGGGATTGTGCTCGAGTCCTTGTGCTTGCAAGGCAGGCCACCGAGCTGCTGAGCTAAATCCCGGCCCTAAAGTCCTATTTAGATCGAAGGCAATGATCACCCTAACGACATCACATTAGCATATATGCCCCCCCCCACAAAGAAAACCAAGCCTTACATCAGCGAAATAATTCCTTAAGAATTCCTCACTGACTGTGCTGGCGGCAGCGGCTCGGGCTCCGGCCGCATCTCTGGAAGCCCCCACGGCTCTCACAGTCCGCATGGTCTCAGCACCGCGTAGGGCTCCTGCTGTCCCCGTCACATGGGTACCCCCACCGCTGAGGAGGCTTCTGTGTTCTTCCCATCTCCCGTCTGCCTCGGTCAAGTCATGCTGCACTCTGGAAAAGGAAGCAGAGCTACTTCCTTTCGCGGTGGCTTCCTTGGTTATTGCACCTCCTACTCCATTTCTTGCTGCAAGATTCTCCTCGTGATCCACAGCCAGCAGCGACGGCACCACCTGTGTGCAAGCGCAGATGACACCCGGTCAGGACAGAGGGTCAGGCGGTTGTCAGAAGGACTGTAGCTAAGTGGGCATAAGAAGGAGATTTCCCCCAGAGGAGATTCAGGAAAGATCTTCTGGGTTGAATAACTTCTGTCATTTAAATATCTTCATTCAGCCTTCTTTCCTAACAGTATAAACCAGAAACAAAAACCAAACTTCCTCTACACTACTGGAGCAAATCGCATTTTAATGTTCCGGTAGGGTTTCATGCTTTCTGCTGTGGTCAAAGAATCCTAATTTTCTTTTTAATCTGGACACATGGCCATTCAAAATAAGGACTATATTCAGGTGAGGTGGTGCACACCTGTAATTCCAATACTCTAGGAGGCTGAGACAGGAGGGTTGTAAGCTTGAGCTCAGCCTGGGCAACTTAGCGAGATCCTATCTCAAAAAGGGAGGGCTGGAGAGGTTGGGAACGTAGTTCAGTGCAAAGGCCCTGGGTTCAAGCCCCAGTGAGTTAAGCAGAAATGGTGTATGCAGTTTCAGGAAAACATGTTTACAGAGTGGTTCTTCACTCTTCTCCCATCTGCTAGCTTGAAAGTGACAGTAGCTAAATGTCTAGAATATGAAGGCAGCATGGGACTGAAACTCATCAATGGAGAAGGGAGCAACAAAAGACAAGGAGCATGGGGTAGCATGAGGAGATACTACACGGATCCCGGACCAGTCACATCTGTGTTTAAGCCACTGTTACTCTGAGTCTCTGACACCTGCTGTTGCATCATATCCTGCATGTGATGGATGAAGGTGAGAGAGCCAGCACGTAGATGCAACAGACAGACAGGAGTCACAGCATTGTCCAGGTAAGGGGATATCACAGTATTTCGTGCCGTAGGCGTTGGAGTTTACCTCTGTCATCTGCATGTGTGGAGGGGCTGGAGATGGAGAACTACCTGGTTGTGAAACACTTCCACGTGAGAGTGGGATGAAACTTTCTGTCCTGGATCCCTATACAGCTTTGTGCTTACCTCTGTCATCTGCATGTGTGGAGGGGCTGGAGATGGAGAACTACCTGGTTGTGAAACACTTGCCACGTGAGAGTGGGATGAAACTTTCTGTCCTGGATCCCTATACAGCTTTGTGTCTGTGGTGGTTAGGCCAGACCGTGTCAACTTGAAAGGCTTGGCAGTCACCAACAGGACTAGCGGAGCACACTTCTGGGTGTATCGGGGTGGGGAACGGAGCAGTGACCCTGGGCACCATATCTGGTCCCTCACTCGTTCCTCTCTGGAACTGCCCCCCTGACCACTATGAACTAAACATCTGTGCTTCCCAATTCTGCCGTGATGTTCCTGCCTTTCAGCCAGCAAACCACGACTGAATCCCCTAAAACTATGAGCTAAATTAAATCTTTCCTTCTTTAAATTGTGGCTGTCAGGTATTGTTTCCCAGCAATGGGAGAGCTGACTAATACTTTGTCTCTGATCCTTGCTGTACGTTCTCTGGGTCTCTCCCCAACCATGGTTACATTCTCATTAACACACTACATATCACAGTGCAGAAACCCACCTCAGCTCTGCCCTGGCAACCAACACAAAATATGTTGTTGTTAGAAGCCTTTGCTTAACAAAGGCATGTGTACGAAATCTGTAATGACTACTGTTGGAAAAGCATCCTGCTTTGGCTCTGTGTCACAACACAATAATCAACACAGACTTCTGTGACCTCATAAGTATTTCTTGTGAGGATTTCTCCCCACCAGCAAGCGAGCAATCAATTCTGCAGCGTACCCAGTTAGGACCCTCTAAGTGCATGTAACACTGACACAGCCTTGCTGGAGGTGGTGTCAGATCTCAGATTGGGAGGGCTCAGTCCCCAAGACCCCTGCCCCTCTTCCTTTCAGATGTCAAGAAACTATCACTTCCAAGGACTTTTGGAGTTGTACAGCAGGAAATGGGAATGCACATCAAATATGTTATCTCACAGTAGTACAATGATATTACTTTCTCATGACCAAAGGTATCAGAAACCCCTCCCAAGCCCTTTTAAGATCAGAAAAGATGACAAGTTGCACTGACTATCGATGAACTGACCTTGTCTTCAGGTGGCGCCCCTTCACTGTTCCAAGGATGCAGCATCTCTATAGTCCCGGGTATGGGGGTGAAGCCTTTGGCGCCCTCTCCACAATGACACAGCAGCAGCAAAAGTGGCACAACTGCACAGAAGCAGAGGTGAGGACAGAGGTCAATCCTGACACATTTCTAACCACGAGCTGTACAATTGTGGAATTTACACATCACTTTTTTCAGTTTTTTTATTATTATTATTTTTTTAACTTCCATCCAACCTCTCCATGCTTGTTTTGCATGAGTTACACCAAAGCCTAAGGGCAGAAAAAAAGAGACTTAGAGGTGTAAAAGGCCTTGTTCTCACAGACAGACTGTCTACGGTACTGAGTGGAATATTACGAATGCATGAGACAGTATGCAAATCAGCAAAACCAATGTAAAGATTAAAAAACTGTTTTTGTAAATTCACTATCCAAACAGATATATTACAAAGATCAAAGGCTCTTAAGAGAAAAATTTTAGTAAGTTTAAATATTCTAGAACACTGAAACCTTTAAAATATTTTACCTAAGAGGGAATTGTGCACAAAGCACAGCTCTCTGAGGTCTCAGTTAACTTTTGAATTATCTGAGAACTATCTCCACATGATTCTGCATAGGCACTGCAGCCTCTGTGATTAATATAGAGACTGAAGTCAGCCAGTGGCAATTCAACAATTTCAACCTATTCAATACACATTGATTGAACATCTGTCATGAGCCGAGAGTCACACTGGGCTCTAGGGAATCCAAGAGGAGAAGGCAGTGCAAGGTTTCCCAGGGAAAAGCTGCAGCCCAGCTCCAGGACCTACCTACCTACAAACATTGTAAGCTGAGCCATTCTCTCTTGTGCATCTATTTGTAATCACTCCTGAAATGCAGGCAGTGGTACGCAGGTGCACCATAAACTGCTGAGTGCTGTGTATTCCATGGGACCCCTGCTAATGGCTTTAACTGGCTCCTCCTCCCTCACTGAGATGGTCCAGGCTGCCTGCAAGGAGGTGCTCTGCCCAGGTTCAGGGTCAAGTGGAGTGCGTTCCACGTGACCCCTGTTGCAGGCTTTTCTGCTTTTGTGAAAGGGAAACCTGGCATCTGAAGGGCAGGCAGGCAGCAAGCTCTGATGAGGTGAGTGCGCAGAGTCAAGATCACCTGAACAAACAGGCTTGTACAACAGCCTTGTATCTGTATTCCAGATTCACTGACTGCAGCAAGTCATTTCTAAGGACCTACTGTTGCAGCGCAGTGTTCTGGGTGCTTGGGAAAGAGCAGTGAAGAACAGACTGTGTGGCCCGAGCTTATCCAAAGAAGGACACCAGCAATGTTTGTGGCAAAAGAAACTTGGAGAGCATGCAGTTCTTTGGTTTTTTAAAAAATGAGAATACACTGGTGTAAGACCAACTCTGAAGAGAGAGCTTGTTATGGTTTAGAGCCAGAATGTCCTCCCAAAGCCTCCTGTGTTCGGAAGCGGGACTTTTGGAAGGTGACTGGATCCTGGGGACCCCAGGCTCTTCAGTAGCTGAGTGTGCTGCAGAAGGGGGGTCTGGTGAAGAGGATCGCTAGGGTGGGAGCTGGTGCTGTGTCTCCCTTCTGGTTCCTCCCTTCTCGCTCTGCTTCCGGGCTGCTCTAGCATGGCCAGCTCTCTTCTGCCCAGCCCCTTCCACCACACCACGCTGTTCCTGCCTTGGCGCCAGCTGACCTTGGGCTGAGAACAGGAGCCAAAATAAGCCTCTCCTTCTTTAAGATGTGGGTGAGGAGTGTTGTGTTCCAGTGATCGGAAGAGACTAAGAGAGCCCTGTAATATGACTTGGTGAACTTATCAATGGTCAGCGACTGTTTTGCCTTACTGTCAAAAATGTTAAAGAATAACTGTAAGGAAATCAATGACTACCATAGCTAGTAATGCACTCAAATGACTACAGGAGCTAAAGAGTGGCTCTTAAGACTTACGGAGCAAGAGCAGAAGGGCCAAGATCATGAGTGCCACTGCCGCGGGCCCCAGGCCCACGTAGGAGTCGTGCTGAGCCGCCACACAGCCACTGCCCTGCAGGCACTTGCAGACCGTCAGCTGGAGGACCTGCTGTTCCGGGCAGCTGAAGCCCTGATTGTCCACAATCAGCAGTGGAATTTCACTTCTCCCGATTTGGCGTTGACTCTGCTGGAGCAGCACACTGGTACCTAGGTGGGTAGGAGAGGGAAGACAGTAAGGACGAGGGACTCCAAGCAGAGGGAGAGACCGGATTACAGAAAGTTCCTGACAAGGCTACAGTTGGAAGTTTGATTTTTCTTTAACTTCTTATTGAATTTATGCTATGCCCTTGTTAACATGTGTCACAGACTTCGAACACACAGCTTAAATAGCAAAGGGTCTGATCTGGACATTTTATTAATTTTAGCTAATATGAGTGGTTCATCAAGTGCCAGGCATGGTCCCCACCGTGGCAAACAAGAGATGAGTATAGATGACTTTTATCTTACCGTGTCTTCTTCTTTGTTCATGGTGCTGGTGATGGAATCCAGGGAGGGCCTAGGCAAGCACTACTATTGAGCTACATCCCTAGCCCTTATTTTACCTTTTCTTAAATAAACAAATGGTATTTAGCAGTTTTCAAACAGAGACAATAAGTCTGTGTCTCACTCCTGTGGTACCCATTCCCAGTCTTTTTTCAACAGTGGCTAATTTTGTCTGCCCTAATTCCTTCCTGTTTGTTCCCCTACATTATGTATTCAAAATTTTGAAAACTTCCCATCTATAAGGTTGAAAGAATATTATAGTGGAAATTGATATAGCCTTCACTAGTTGTTCACATTTTGCAATGATACATTCTCTCTATACACTCATGATTTGGAAAAAACTTTCTGAACTATTTTGAGGTAAGTAACAGATAGCAGGACAACAGACTTTCTAAAATGCCAGGATATCAGTGAAAAATAAATTACTGATATAAAAATACTACTTAGTGTATAACACATTGGCAAACATTTCAATTTTCATAATGTCCTTTCATAATGCCCTGTAGGTTTCTGTCCACTTTCTCTCTTGATTCTAGATCCAGCCAGGAGTCACTCATTTCTTGGAAGTTACCACTTTAGTCTCTATTCATGTGGAATAACCCAGTCTCTCCTATTATTTCAAGACTTTCACATATTTGAAAACACTTATTTCAAAGACTTTTCCATGGTTTGAATTTGTTTGACTGTTTTCTCATCACTGCGATTCCAGCATACATTTGTGGCGAGAAGATGACGTGTGAATGACTTCTTAATCTTCTTTCTATTTGTGACTTTTTGAGACAGGGTCTCACTATGTAGTTCAGTCTGGCCTTGAACTCACTATGTAGCCCAGGCTGGTCTCAAACTCACAGTGATCCTTATGCTTTGGCTTCCCAAATGCTGGAATTGCAGGCCTGTGCTACCACACTGGGCATTTGTTTCTTCTGAAGTAAGAAATAGCTCCTTGTTTTAAGTTCCAAATTTGATGGAAACACACGTTTATATAACCTCTCAGGCTCTGGGAGCTTTGTCTAAGGAGTATGAACTCGGGAACATCTGGCCTGGAAGATTACAACGATGAAATCTGGAGAAAGCAGCTTCTGTAACTCAGGCTTTCTTTTCCACTGTTGCATAATATAGTGGAGGTTTAGCTCCTCAGATTCATCAAGTCAAATGCACGATGGACTCTGAGGGGAGTAAATGAGGAAAGGAAGGGGATTTCCAGTCTACCAGTTATCATCTTGGTCATAAGAAGGTTGACTTACATACGACAAATTGTTCATCTTCTTTCCATTGTGGGCAGTAAGCACAAGAATGTCCGACTTATTTGTGTATGGAATTCTCTGTATTTAAAAATTTTCCCAGGTAAATAAAAACAGATGGACGCTACTCCTTATTCCAATAGTTGTTAATTGGTCTCCTTATATAACCATAAAGAAAGCCTAGTCACAGAGTCCTCTTTCTCTCAATAGCATAGTCACACAAAGAACAATCTCAGTGACTTCCAGTTAGAATTCAGTGACACAGGTCCTGAACAGTTTTACAGTCCTAGGACAATGACAATTCAACAACTCAAATCCTGGGCTGGGGATTTAGCTCAGTGGTGCTGTGCCTGCCTCCCAAGTGCAAGGTTGTCAGTTCGATCTCTGGTACCAAAACAAACAAACAAACCCCTCAAATTCTAACTCCAGCTCTTAATAGCTGTTATCTTGGGAATGGGTAAACCTTGCTGTGTCTTTATTTCCCTAGCTATAAAATGCTGATGATGGTAACAGCAAACTTCTAGAGCAGTCAATATTAAAAAGTGTTTATGCAATTGCAAGGTCCTGAGTTCAATCCCTGGTAACAACAACAACAACAAAGTATTTAAAACAATGTCCAGCAGCTCCTCAACCCCACATATTTCTTAGAGAAAATAAATCTATTTTTGGATTCCAGCAAATTCAATATGAAATTCCTTTAGATATCTTGCTCGAAGAAAGGCTAACTCCATCAAACATGTATCCTGGTGGGAGTCCCAGACCTCGCTGAGCACCAGCTGAACACTTCCAGGTTTGGAGGCCTGTGATAAAGAATCACCTGGGTCCTGGATCCAGGGCTCACACCAGCTGAAAAATGTGATCTTAAAGAACCTCAACTGATCACAGTGGTGACCGTCATCCTTCCTAGGGAGG